AATGGCTACCCCGCCCGCCGCCGCTCGCTCGTGGACGACGCCAAGTTCGAGAGCACCATCAAGAAGCAGCAGAAGCAGACGTGGATTGAGGAGGCCAAGAGACTGTCGTGTGGTGAGCGGTTTAGTTCTTTCTTATTCCATTTTGTGTTATCTAGTTGCTTATCTGTCTGTTTGTTTATCTAGTCTGTCTCTGTTTTGTATTTTCGTGTCTCCCTGCTTCATTCTGTATATCTGTGTCAGGCTGTTTGCCTTTCTGACTCTGTTTCTGTTTGTCATTGTGTTCGTCTGTCCAATTGGCCCTTTCTGTTTTTCTCTCTAATTGCCTCTGTCTAATTATGTCTCTCTGACTATCTCTGTCTGTCTCTTCGTATCTTCTTTCAGTCTTTCTGCCTCTCGCTTTCTCTCTTTGTTGCTTTTTCTTTTCTTTGACTGTGATTGCTGAATTGCTTACCACGCCCTTCTCCCTAATTTATTTTGTTTCCATTCTTTGCAACTCTTTGTGCTGTAGTGTTGCTGTGCTGCAGTTCGAAATACAACTGATATCCAAAATAAAATCGCAATATCATTTCCAGTATTAATAACCGATACCCATGACCATACCATCCGCCTATAACCAAGATATATACCCACATTACAAATCCCAGCACCCTTGACCAAACACACAGCCCTTCTTCCTCGCCTTAATCCCACCACTGCCACCAGACGGAGAGCTGAGCGAGGAGGAGGTGTTCCTGGTGCAGAGCCCCTGCGAGCCGGACGTCCCCCAGCAGGTGGCTCTCGTCCTAGCGCTCGTCGACGGCATCACCAGCCTCCCGAGGATCATCAAGACCATTGAGGTGAGGTTCTCTTATTCCCTTTCTCTTTTTCTTTATCTCTTTTTCTCTATTTATGTCTCTTTATCTATATGCATATGGTTATTTATGTCTCTCTGTCTCTTTCTTTCCTTTTTCTATCGATCTGTCTTTTTTCTCTTTTCTCCCCCTCCCCTTCAGTCTCTCTATCTATTTTTTTTCCATCAATCTGTATATCTTTCTGTCTTTTTATCTCATACGATACAAAATACTCACACCAGAATTCAAGGTCTTTATGAATTAAGAAATATTTAATGGATGAGCATAAAATGTTGAAACTTTCAATCAGTACTAATAAAAATATTTTAGCAATAGAAATGTAATGTAGAAGCCTTTATTCAATAAGAAAAAAAATATACTATAAGTAATAGAAATAGGATTTAGAATCTCTTAAAATCAGTTGGAGTAAAATGTAAATTATCGCAATAAAAAAATTACGAAGAAAGAATAGATAACGGGGAAAGAGCAACGCAGAGAGAGAGACGAGAGAAGACAAACAGAAAAAGGAGGGAGAGGAGAATGAAAGGAGTAAATAAAAACAAAGAAGACAGAGGACGACACCAAAGACCAAAATGCGACTAAAAGGAAAACGGAGTAAGGGGAAGAAAGGCGGGAAAATAGGAGAATGGACGAAAAGAGAGGGGAAGAGACGAGGGAAGAAGGAGGAGGGGAAAAGTGCACCACTCACGCCTTCCGGAAGCGCTGGATAGGCTCCCCTCAGACCTGCTTTGGGCGGGGGCGAGGAGAAAGAGAGGAAAGGGTGGGAATGCGAAAGAGAGAGGAGAGAGTGAGGAGGGGGGGTTATGTAATATAGAGGACAGACAGGAAGGGAAGGAGAGAGAGAGAGAGGAGAGAGAGAGAGAGAGAGAGAGAGAGAGAGAGAGAGATGAGAGAGAGAGAGAGAGAGAGAGAGAGAGAGAGAGAGAGAGAGAGAGAGAGAGAGAGGCAGACAAACAATTAAAAAGATAGGTAGACAGAGAGAGAGAGAGAGCGTTAGAAAGTTCAGAAATACGGAGAAAGAAAAGTTGGAAGGCAGACAGAAACAGAGATCAATATGTAGATATAAAGACAGCTACGAGAAAAAAAAAAGTAGAAACAGGGACTGAAAAAATCAGAGATAAATAAACGAAGAAGTAAAAGAAAATAAACGAATGTGAGGATAAGATGAAAAAGCAATAAAAGCGCGAATGAATGGCAAAGCAATTAAGCAATTACCTCTAAATCACTGCCCCCCTTCCCGCTTTCCCTGTCCCTCCTTCTAAATCACTACCCCCCCCCCTTTCCCTTCCACCCCCTCAGTCTTGTTATCCTCATCCTCCCACTCCTCTTTCTTATTCTAAATATCTTTTTTTTACTCTTTATTCTCTGTTTCCACATCCCTCACTTTTATTATTTTTCCTCCTTTCTAAATCTTCTTTTCCTCATTCTTCCCCTCTCCTTTTCCACTATCTCCCCTCTACCCTTTCTTCTTTTTTCTGTCTTCTCTTCCTCTTTTTTTACATTTTCTTCCCCTCCCCTTCTCTTCGCATTTTTATTTTTCTTCTCCTCTTCCGCCACCACATTTTTCCTTCTTTCTAGATCTCCGCCTCTTTTTCTTTCTATTTCCTTTATCTCGCCTTTCCCCTTCTCCCTCTTTCCTTCCTTCCTTCTCTTTCTCTTTCTCTCCCTCCTTTTCTTCCCCATCCCTTTTTCTCGTTCTCCTTCAGAAATGTTTCATGTTCATGATAATTGTAATATTGATATTGATGACGGATAATAAGAACAAACATAAGAACTGGAATAAAAAGAAGGAGCGACAGAATGACAAGAAAATAACTAACTCTAACAACTATGCTAATAGTAACAAAGACAATGTTGATACAACTAATACTACTAATCATAACAATGATAATAATGGTAAGAACAACAATTATGATCATAATGAAAACAACATTAATAGCAGCAATAAAATGATGATAAAAGCGATAATAACAATAATGATGATGTTAGTAATAATAACAATATAACTAATAATAACAATACTAATACTGATAATGCTCTCTCCTTTTTCTCTCCTCCTCCTCCTCCTCCTCCTCCTCCTCCTCCTTCTGCAGAACTTCAAGGGCACGGTCGTCCACGTGGAGACGCGACCTGCTCCTCGCAAGGGCGTGGCCTTCGACTCCTGCTCAAAGGTGCTGATCCTGGGAGCCCCTCCTGACGCTGCTCAAGAGCCTGCGCCAGGGGGCCTCCATTGCCTCCGTCAACCTGCTGTCGGAGCATCACTCTTCGATCAAAGGTGAGGCTGAGGGCGGGGTGGAGGAGAGAGGAAAGGGGGAGGGGGGAGAGAGGAGGAGAGGAGAGAAGGGAGAGGAGGGGAATGGAGGAGAGGAAGAGGGGGAAGGGAGGGAGAAGAAGAGAAGAAGGAGAAGGGAGGAGGGGGATGGGTGGAGGAGGAGAAGGGAGGAAAGGAGGTGAGAGGTGGAGGAGGAGAGGGAGAAGGATGAGGAGGAGGAGAGGAGGGGGTAGAGAGGAAAGGGAGAAGGGGAGTGGGAAGGGAAGGTGGATATATGGGTGAAAGAGAGATAGACGGATATATATATATATATATATATATATATATATATATATATAATATATATATATATATATATATATATATATATATATATATATGTATATATATATATATATATGTGTGTGTGTGTGTGTGAGTGAGAGAGAGAAAATAGGTAGAAGAATTGAGAATGGGAGAGGGAAGTAGGTAGACACACATAAGTAGTTAGGAAAGATGAAAAATATAGGGATTTTGATAATGATGTAATTTATATTGACAATAATATAGAATATAAAGAAATACAATGCTAAAAAAGTAATAGTGACAATGCTACAAAAAATGTAATGACAATATTTAAGAAAAAAACACATTGACTGTAACAATACTAAATATTTGATTATAGTGGCAATGTTAAAGAATATATTGATAGGGGCAATGTTGAAAACATGATAACAAAGTATATGATTATAGCAATAATCATAAAAAGATAGTACTAACTGAAATGATTAAAAAAAGATGTCGATGAACCAACTAAAAGAAAATTCAAGTCGACAAGTGAATAAAAGCGATACAGACTAAGCTGAGCCCTCACCCCCGCCTCCCCGCCCAGAGCCGTGGTTCCCGAAGCACATCAGCGAGCTGGACCTGTGCAACCACCTCATGACCAAGTACGAGCCCGACCTGGACATGGACCACCCGGGCTTCGCCGACCAGGACTACCGCGCCAGGAGGAAGGAGATCGCCGACATCGCCTTCAAGTACAAGCAGTAAGTTGATGGCTGGGGGCTGGGGGGGGGGTGGAGGGGAGGGGGTTCGAAAGAGGGTTGAGGAGGATAAAGGAGGGAGGGAGAGGGTTGAGGATGGGAGAGGGAGTGGAGGTTAGGGGAGGGGGCTTGGCTGTAGAGGCTTTGGGTTAGAAGTAGGTTAGGGTCGCAGAGTGGGATGGGGTGGAGTTAAGAGAGTAAAGTAAGAAGTTGAGGTTGTGGGGGAAGACGGGGTTGTGGGGAAGATGATTGCGGGGTTGCGAATTGATCAGAGATTTTGTGGGTGGGTGAGGCAGGCGCCAACTGAGGGAAAGGAAGGTCGTATGTGGGGAACTGGGTTGGAATTGGGGCGGGGAGAGTGGGCAAGGGAAGGGTGGGGTAAGGGGGACACAAGGAAAACCAGGCGATGTTTCCTTAGTGTACCGATCCATTTGATATGTTTGTTGTGATATGAACTGCGTGCTGTGACAGAGCTTCCAGTGTCCGATTTACATTCCATTCCCACACACACCCAGAGGGCCTCACACGCGGGGCCTGGCGGGCAGAGAGGATCGAGGCCAACCGCTTGACTTCATTTGCTTAGAGTCCGCACAGCTATTACACGCACGAGGCGCGAGACGCCGACACGTGCCCTTACGTGCGGGTATTGGTGTCAGGTCTTGACCCGTGGCATGGCTTGGGCCATTGTTAGAGCACACGCGGGCGCCCCCACGGCAGACGGAGAAGCCACGTGGGGCGCGGCTTGTGAGCTGAACGGCCTTGCACACGCTTATATGCATGTCATGCAAAGACAACAAAGCGTCTTTAAATGAAACATGAAACAAAAGAAATAAACATATAAAAGAATAATAGAATTAAAACAAGCCACCCATCCTTCTCCCCCCCCTTCGTCAGCGGCGAGCCCATTCCCCGCATCGAGTACCGGCCGGAGGAGATCGCGACGTGGGGCGCCGTGTTCCGCGAGCTGGAGCGCCTCATCCCGAGCCACGCCTGCCGCCAGTACCGCGAGGTGTGGGACGTCCTCAAGAGGGACTGCGGCTACGCCGCCGATAACATCCCGCAGCTGGAGGATGTGTCCAGGTTCATGAAACGTAAGAAGCTATTATTATCATTATTATTATCATTATTTTTTTTTTTTAATACTTTTTTGCGCTTCGTCAGACTCGTCGAAGTTCTTGAAATGTAAGATTTTTTTTTCTTTTGTTTTGGTTGTGTTTGTTTTTGTTTGTTTATTTATGTTTATTTCATCTATTCGTTTGAATATTTGTTGAACGCGTCGAGATTCATGAAACGCAAGATACCATTTTTGTGCTTTTGTTTTCGTTTGTGCGTCTTTGTTTCCTCTTTGGATATAGACTAATGCGAATGATTTGTTGCTCTTGTCGCGCGTGGCGATCCGAGCCCGCGGATGAGCTCGCGCGAAGCCCCTTCTCTGGTTCCCTCCGCCGAAGGGCGTGGGGAAGACATGGATAAACGGATGAAAAGATGATCGAGTAAATAGATGCATTAATAATTGATATATGAATAAATAAGTAAAAATAAATTGTGGATAGATAATCAAACTAAAATATAAATGAATGAATAAGCAAGTAAATAAATATATGAATGAAAAATAAAATCAAGATACTAATAATTGAATAAATACGTAAATAGACATATGAATAGATAGCCAATTCAAAGTTGCAATAAACGAAGAGGTGAGCCATTCTCACCCGTGAAAGGGAAGAGAAAAGGACGAACCAGAGACACCTCGAAGGACCCTCATCACGCCCTCTCCGCCCGCAGGCCGCACGGGCTTCTCCCTGCGCCCCGCCGCCGGCCTCCTGACGGCGAGGGACTTCCTGGCCTCGCTCGCCTTCCGCGTGTTCCAGTGCACGCAGTACATCCGCCACCACTCGTCGCCGCACCACTCGCCCGAACCGTGAGTGTGTGTGTGGTGTGTGGGGGGGGGGGGGCTGGTGTAGGTGTGTGTTTGTCTGATTGTGTGCTTTGGTGATTTTGTGTTTGTCTGTCTCTACCCATTTGTCTGTTCGTTTTTCTTTCTGTCTATCTATATTTTTATCTCTCTGTCTACCTGTTTGTCGGTCTGTCTATCTATCTATTTGTCTGCCTATCTATATGTCTGTCTATCTGTCCATCTATTTGTCTATCTATATGTTTGCCTGGTTATCTATCTATCTGTCTGTCTATTTGCCTGTCTGTCCGTCTATCTATTGTTCATTTTGATAGCTATAGTGATGTGTGCTGTGATGCTGATGACGGCCATGCTAGCACTGAATTTGATGATGATAGTGATGAAAATGATGATGACAGTGATAGTGATGTGAATGATGTTGATGGTGATTATAGTAATGATGGTAAGTGTTAATGATAATGATGATGGCAATGATACTAATGGTAATAATGATGGTGATCATGGTGATGACGATAATGATGATGATAATGACAATAACAGCACTAATGGTAATAATGATAACGTAAACAGCAGTAAAGTTATAATCTTAGTATCCAGAGCAAGAACAACACTGACACACCACCAAAGGCAACAAAGACACTTACAGTCCCTCTCCCTTCCAGAGACGCCATTCACGAGCTGCTAGGCCACGCCCCCCTCCTCGCGTACCCGCAGTTCGCGCAGTTCTCGCACGAGCTGGGGCTGGCCTCCCTCGGCGCCTCCGACCAGGAGATCGAGAAGTTTGCTACCGTGCGTTTGGCTCCTTACTTCATGTCTATTATATAATATATTATATATATATAATATATATTATATAATATAATATTAATATATATATATATATATATATATATATATATTATATATATAATATATAAATATATATATATATAGTATATATATACATAGATAGAGAGAGAGAGAGAGAGAGAGAGAGAGAGAGAGAGAGAAAGTGAGGAGTGAATATATAATATATAATATATATATATATATATATATATAAATATATATATATATATATATATATATATATATATATATAAAGATAGAGAGAAGAGAGAGATAGAGAGAGAGAGGAGAGAGAGAAGAGAGAAGAGAGATGAGAGATAGAGGAGAGAAGAGAAGAGAGACAGAGAGAGAGAGAGTGAGTCAGAGAGAGAGAGAGAGAGAGAGAGAGAAGAGAAGAGAGAGAGAGAGAGAGAAGAGAGAGAGAGAGAGATCTGTTATTATCGTTATTTCATTATTTTTCTCTTCTTTTCTCTTTGAGGCCCCGTTTTTTAGGGGTTTGGCGTGTTTTTTGCTCGTCTTTGGGTAATTTTAGGGAAATGTTTTTTCTTTTTTGCATATTTCTGGCACAGGGATTGAGATTTTTTTTTGTCTGCAGTCTTTGGGATGCAATTTTTTTTCTAGATTTTGTCTAAATTCGATATAATTACGGGGGGCGACACTGCTTTCTTCTCAGAATTCCTTTTGATCCTGTATTCCGTTAGACCATTTCGGAATCTAATCACGAGTTTGACTTGACTGACCTCTATCTGCACAATCTCTCTATCTATCTACAATCTACCTACCTAATCTATGCAGTCTCGCAATCTATCTACAGCCTCTCTACCTAATCTGCAAATCTCTATCGATCTGAACCATCTCTATCTACCTACAACCTCTCCATCGACAACTTCATTATCAATCCACAACGTTTCTAGCTGTCAGCCACCCATTTATCGGTGTGTGGGAATATATTTCAGGGGAAATATATATCCCCCCACCCCCTCACACCTGCACCTACACCCCCGCGCCTTACCCCCCCCCCTCCGCCCCGCAGATGTACTTGGTTCACGGTGGAGTTCGGTCTGTGTCGCGAGGGCGGCGAGGTGCGCGCGTGGGGCGCCGGCCTCCTCAGCAGCTTCGGCGAGCTCCAGCACGCGCTCTCCGACAAGCCCGAGCGGCGGCCGTTCGAGCCCGCCAGGACCGCCGTCAGCCCTACCAGGACCAGGACTACCAGGACCTCTACTTCGTGTCCGAGAGCATCGAGGACGCGCAGGACAAGTTCAAGTGGGGGGCGCATTTTTTTTTTTTTTTTTTTTTGGGTGGGGGGTCGTCTTGATGTTTTTGTTGTGTTTTGTTTTCAGGTTTTATTTTTTTGATATTGTTGTTGTTTATTTAATTTTTAGTTTATTGCTGTTTATTACTGTTATATTACATCATCATTATTATTATCATTATTATTATTATTGTTGTCATTACCACTGTTGTTATTATTGTTATTATTTTTTATCACTATTATTATCATGATAATATTTATTGTTATTACTGTTACCCTATTGTTATTATTATCATTGATTATCCTTATCATTAGTACTAGTAAGAGAAGTATTGTTGTTATTATAATTTTTGTCATCAACTAATATCAAAGTACATCACTGACTCAATTGGTCGATCAAATGGCTGAATCAACCCGGAAAAGCATCTTACGGAGGCTGATATTGCAGCTATTATTGTTAGTATCATTATTATTAGTAGTGGTGGTAATAGTAGTAGTAGCAGTGGCATT